ACACACAATGTTCTCAGCACATCATGTACCAGGACATGGCAGAGCCTTGTGCACAGAGCACTCCGCTGGATTTCTAACCCACGCTCCCTCGACCCGCTCCAAGCTGGGGTACTCACGCCGGGGGGCACGGTTCGGTATTGCACGGCCTCTGCCGCTCTGGCATTTTGGTTTCGGGGCTACAGAAATGGTTCAGGACGGTTGAGCCATCGGAAAGTTTCTTGCATACCACAGACTGGGCCTGGCTGCCTGCCAAGAAAAAAAAAGGCGAAGGGGGAAAGAGAGGAGGACCCTGAGGCTGGCGCTGAATCAAGCCGAAGGGACGAGTCCCACAGCTCTGCTCCCTTGTGGGCAACGCGATGGGGCAGCCGCTTGTCACGGCACCTCGTCAAGCCTCACCCTACTTCTCTATTCACGACACAGGCGTCCTTTCCCTCTAACACGTTGAGAAAAACTATGGAAGGAGGTGAAGGCTCATCAGGTTCTCCAGAGCCACACCAACCTGTGTGTCAATCCCCGCAGGAACCAGCCCAAGGGATTCAGGGAAGCATTAGCGGCTTTTCTATTCACAGACACGTAGATCCAAAGGCCGGAGGGGCTGTTGCCATTGGATAACCTGTCCTGCCTCACCCAAATAAATGAATTTCAACCATATCATCCCACCTTCCATCACCTGTACCTCCTACACCTGTGGTCCAGCCGAAGAGCAGCATCCAGGCTGTTTGCCCGGAGGCTCTGCCCACAGGATCACACTGACGGACCCCAGCTTGCAGGTGGGTGATCGCAGGGTGGGAACATGTAGCAAGCTGAGAGCTCCTTTAGAGCAAATCGGACGCTAATGTCCACGCGCTGTCTCATGTGGCCCAGACACGGTGTGTGGGAGTCATAGGAGGGAAGACACGTGTCCCACCCCCAGCCGACACCGGATGAAACCTCACCCCCTGCACACAGCACGGAGCACTTGGTCCATGGGGTGTAGTGCCAGGAATAATGGTTCGAGGCATCCCTGCCGACGGGTGCGTTGAACTTGTATCGGATCCCCTGCAGCTCTGTTCGCACAAGGACCTACGGAGAAAGGCACCACGAAAGCATCAGGGCTGCTGAGGTCCAGCGTGGTTGTGACCAAACGGATGGTGACCCGCGACCTCGGCGCGCCTTCTAAAATCCAGAGCAGCTGCAATCTCCCCTCCTTCCCTCTCCAGTCCCTTCCAGCATTGACAAGGCAGCCACAGGTGAGGACAGTGGTGCAGCCATGAAGGTGACACAACGAGAGAACAAGCTCCCATGCACTTAAAGACTGAATTGTTCCAAAGCCTGTCAGATTAGGCAGGGAGACCTGAGAATTTAGCCCTCTTTACCTCTGATCTCTGTGCTTCGTTACTCCAGACAGTAAGGACAGAGACTAATTAGCAACAATTCCCAGGGAATCACAGTCAAGGTCCCTCTAGCCCAGACCAGGTGGGGGTATGAAGGAACCACGTTACCAACCATGACAAAGAGGGTGATGTTGGTGGGTCCCAAGGCCTCCAGGGACTCGGGTTCTTCTGGGGATCTCCTGTAGTGGAAGGTTGTGCCTGCGATGTCAAAGCGCCGCGGCGGGTCAATGGAGAGCTTCCCGTTGATGTAATACTCGCCGCTCTCCCCTCTCAGCGCTGCGAGGGAAGGGGAGGGGACAAGGGTTAGCAGAAAGGCTCAACAGAGCTGTATCCACCTTCGGCTGGGTCCTTCCCATCAGCCACGCTCAGAGCTCTGCTACAATGGAGGGTAAATATCATCGGCCTCATTTTACACGGGTGGATTAGGTGGGGCAAATAAAGTAGGTGCCTGGGTCAGGGTCACACGGACAGTCCCTGGCAGAGGTGGGACGCCCTTGTGGAAGGATGCTCAGCCAGCTGCCTGGGGTGCTGATGGGGACGCTTGGGAGCGTGACAAGCTGTGGCTGTGAAGCCAGGCTCAAATCCAGCTGTGCAAACTGGGTCTTGGCTGCTGGGGCTACTGGAGAAGGCTGGTGCCCAGCAGCCTGGCTGTGGTTGCCCAGGAGAGTCACTAGAGGGGGATCGGCTCGCTTGCTCCTTCCTGCTCGCGGTCCCACGCTCTCCTCTCTCGCTCTCTGCCACCAGCGCTGGCGTCCAGCTCTGTGTCCCTCCTGCCCTCGCTGCTGGCAACCACCTCAGTGCTGCGATGCTCTGGGGCAGGGAGGATGCTTCCTGCTGGTGAGGATGGAGGATGCTCCCTCACTCGCACTGGGGTGCAGATCCTGGGGTGGGAGAGTCTGGTGGCAGCAGCCGA